CTAACTCAATTTTTTCCAACATTGAGTACACCAGTTATCTTTCTTTGAGTTAATATGGAGCTGTTGGCTTTATAATGTTGCAGAAATGCTGCTTAAATGTTTTATACACATTCAATTATGTCATCCGATAATGTTTCTACAAGACTTCTTTGAAGTGTAGAATAGTTAGTGATTTTGCAGTAGATAGTACTGTTTCATTTCGTTCCATGGATTTGTGGATAATAATCTAATAAACTAAATTGCAAACAAGTTGGCGAATAAAGTGTGAGATCAACAAAAGGTAAAACATCGAAAGGAACAAATCTAACATTGGACCTGAGCAAAAGAAGCTGTGGTGTCTTTTTTATGACACTTGATGCATGTCTTAGACACTCGTTTTGTGGTATATCTGCTAGAGCACAATATATGTACTTGGAACGTAAAAACGATAGTTTTCTTGTTTCCTTGCTAAGAGACAAGTGCATTGCTAGAAAGAAAGATTTTTAACACTAGAATATCTTGCGCGATCTGCATCTGAATATGCTCATAGAAGATATGGAATTTTAGCATACTCCTTTTGACGATATCCAATATATGGGGAAAATTCAATCCTTTAATAATATTTTTCTTTTCTAATTAGTATGCATCTATATCTCGTTCTTCTGACAAGTGTACACAAGGCATAATTGTAAGGAGTTAAAACTTAACAAAATATGCTAGAGGAGCGTACTTGAGGCTTTGTAGAGCACAAAGAAGACAGTTTGACTTCGTGAGTAAGACGTTCTAAATCAGGAACTGACGGACTCTTTTAGAGGGGTAACCATTCAAGATCACACTTTCACAACCACTTGATATAACCTCACTTCCTGCAAGAAAGTAACAACTAACAAAGAGCAAACATAGGAATATATAGGAACTTAAGCAACAATCTTCCCAATATCTATTCATGGGTGCTGCCCAACAGAGATACCAGAATAGGTTTGGGTTTTGTAAAGCCATCAAAGCAGGTATAGACGTGTCTGACGAATGCATACACTTGCAGTCTCAATCTCATAAGTAATGGCAGTTCAACCTCTAATTTCAGATATTATTGCCAACAATAGGCTGTGATGAAGTGCATAAGGAGTTAGAATTTATGATTAAGTGGGATCGCAAGGCAAAATAATGATTTCATGATAACTTTGGATTTGTCCGTTTTTGGCGAATTAATAGTCTAATTTGAGTGGAAACAGGCCAAGGATCACAAC